TCGTACATTATACCGGCTAGGTCTTCGCCCGAGTTGCCGAGGGCCCTGCAGGCTGTTAAGGGACTGAGGTAGGCTGGGAAAAGTCGGTGATCAGAACCTGCCCATCACTTTTTGGCGGCCGGGAGCGTAGCAGCACGAAATCGGCTGCCGAAGATCGACGAAATGACGACGAAGAAACCAATCAGAGCAGCGGAGTCGCTAACCTTCTGAACGGAGGAACACAGCGCCATGCCACTATAGCACATCAGATAAGGCTCCACGAGAGAGATACCGACAGTTGGAACTTGCAATCGCAAATCAGAACATATCCTCACTCAGAGGGAAACAGCAAGAGCTAGTTTGTGAGGCCTCAAGGTACTTACTCGACATAGGTGGACTCTCGTCGACGAAGCGCCAACGCTCTGTAATTCTGAACCTCTGCGGCTGGAAGCAATTCCACTCAGGTGTTGACCACGACGTGCGCTCAAGTCGGTGTTGGTGTTCTGGTAAAACCCACACTTGATGACAGAATCATTCTGTACAAGCCTCTCAGCGGAAAAGCGGCAATCCTTAGAATGAAGCTGCAACAGATTAAAAAGGCTGACGCTGTTAAAGCTCTAGGAGCTCATTTTAGAGGGAGAATGTGAGTTCTTCCTTCAGGAAGTGGATTGTGCCCTGTACGAAGTTTCAAATACGAAATTCATCCTGCAATTGGGCGATTTTAACCTGCATGTCGGAGATGATACTGAAAAGTGGAAAGGAGTGTCTGAAAAGAACTGTCTTAACGACCAAAACAAAAACAACATGAAGATATCAGAAAAGATCACGTCCTTCGATGCTGCTGGGTTTATTTCGAGGCGGGTATTGGATGCCGATTTATATATACATGAATTTAGTAATTCGAGTGTTTAAGTAACCGCGACACTGAAAGCTGTTAGCAATTAATCAACTCAGCTGATTAATAAACAAATTATTTGGTTTCGGAGTCAAAAAGCTTAAACTAAGCGTTTAGCTTACCTCGAAAACTTCTGCTGAGCATGAATTCATCAGTTCTAGGCGGCGATCGCCAGGAAGGTGCTCTGCAATGATTCCAGTAGAAACGTCAGAGCAAACCGAATAAGGATCGTGCTCGACGAGGAAAAGGAGGTAAGCGACTGAAGTAATCGCGTTCTTGGGATCAGGGTGACGAGAAAGTAACTCGCGACACAATCGGTGGCTAACTTCCCTCACTTTAAAATCTTCGTCCTAAATAATGCGTCATAAACTCGTTCCATTATCCAAAACGCAAAACCAAACAAAGCTTTTTGTAAATTCGTGGCCAAAGTTTCCACACGCACGACACTGCAGCGCCGTTCCTCTGCATTATGGCTTTCTGCAGTTCCTTCAAACCCTTAAAAGCATGCCGTGAATAAGAATCAACGTCATAATGTTAACTGCATACCTTTGTCTTAGTGGTCGAGTCCTTCTTCACTGCCTTGCGCAACAGTACACGTAGATCCGGCTCCACGGCGCTGAATTCTTTTCCCATTGCAAACAGCGTCCCGTGGGACGATGCATCGATATATTCAAGTGGTATCGATTTCGTTAAAAGCTCCGCTGCTTTCACACTGCTTGACGGCTAAAACTATTTTATGAATGACAGAAATCAATCGTGTAACTGGTTTATAAACCCTTCAAAAGTTTTGTTTATGAGAAAGTTTGCAGAAATTTATCACCTTCGTAACTTTCCTCTGTAAAACTTATTAAAGCCAAGATAAAAACAGCATCTACAACTTGAAAAAACAAAAGAACGGTCTTCCGTTGAAACTAATCCTCGTAAGCGATGCAAATGTACTTTTCTTTTAACGTCATTAACAATTTTGGTAACAGCTTCCCACTGTATTCTTCCCTTTTGAAGTGACGTCGATTGGTATCGAGAATTAGCACTACCAGCCCAGTAGCATCCGTGAAAGGTGCTTACTTTCAGTAGGTACAACAAATGGAGCTTGGAGACATGACAGTGATAATTCTGTGAGTTGTAGAGAGGCTACAACATCCAAAATATCATATAGCATTTGGGTAACGCTGTGATAAACTTAAACTACTTGTGTTCACCTACACGATGAGAGGGACGATTAATAGCGGACTTGAATGGAGTCGAGAGAAAACTTAAGACCTAATGTAAGCTCAGTACAGAATGCTTGCTTCTTCAATTCACGTATTTAATTCAGTCAGTAAGGCATAGTGAAGGAGGTTTCACTCGTTGAAATTGTTTCCAAGAAACAGATAGCACACAAGATCCATTTACTTTCAAGCAATGTAAAACAGTGTTTCATAAACTGCCGCTAATATTTTTGCTTACATTTAAGACAATCTTGTCTGACGATGGTAGATGCTGATTTGGGTTTATGTAGTTTTCTGCAGCTATCTTCTGCAGACAGTATCTCCTAAGCGCATTTCTCGACGGGTACTGATGCAATATAAATTTCTGAACAGCTTAATGTCAGTCGTATAACCGCTTTAGGTATTTAGCATAGCCATCAATTTGATCGAAGCGAACGCCTTCTTGTAGTCGAGAAAAGCTAAACAGAGTTTCACTTGATATTCGATGCACTTCTTCGTCAGCTGTTGGATGACATGTCCATAATCGATGGTAGAGCACCCTGTACGAAAACCGGTGTGTTCCTAACTTGTGATTAATTGAAGTTCTTACCAAATACGGTGGAGGATGATGCCGGTGAATACTGTAAATCTGGGACAGAAGGGTATTTAGTTAATATTATTCGGGTCTTGGGAATCGTCTCTCTTCAAGAGTCGTTCTTGACGTATTCTAATCTTTAGACATCAAGTTCAGCCTGATGCATTCTGTAAAACTTTTTTCAAGTGCTGTAAACAAGACTCTCCCTGAAGATTCAAGATGTTCTGATCTTATGTTGTCTTTGCCTGGGCAGTTGGATTTTTAATGTTTCTGATTGCTCACTCAACTTTGTCCCAGGTGACGGTACTTCTAGGGCAACGTATGGCAAATCGAATTTATGCCAACCCTAGAAGACCACCGGTTATTAATATTTGTGCAGGCTTATCTGACTGTATTAGTAGTTCTAGCTCTGCAGCAGACTTTCAATGCAGTGGGAATCCGTTACATTAAGCGAATATCCCGTTTCACCCTTTGCCGGCTTTATTCAGCTCCACAGCTTACATTAATTCTCATGTAACTTTCGTGGTTTTCCATGAACTTCTTCCGTATCTCGGTGCACAATGGCACTCGCTATCCATTTTCCGTTCGACCTTTACCTGGGCGCTTCTAGCCATTAGCTGACTTGTTAAAGGGCTGATGTGTTGGTTTCTCGTCAATTTTGCTGTTCGGATTGATGTTATAATGGTAGTTTCTGACAGTATGAACAAAATGGCTATAATACGCATCTATGCCTTCACTGTTGTTTATTTCACAGCTTATTAATGTCAGCTTTCCTGCGAATGTCCCTGCATCCATTCATCGTTCTTCACAAAGAACTATCCTTGAGTTCCTTTGATCCACTTATCTTTAGCAACATCGATCATAAATGTCGAACGTAAAATTCTGTTATCTGATCATGCACAAATATTCTCGCATATGACCGATATTTCCGATGATTTCTCTGGTCCTTCAGCACACAGTCGATTTGGTTCAAACACTTCTCCATGTCCCGGTCGTTTTGGAGCTTTCTGGAAAACGATGCTGGTGACTTGTTTTCAGTGCAGGTTGCGAAGCAACGTCCAAATTCATTCATTTCGCCTCTTCCGAGACAGACGATGAATTCCTGTGCGCGGTTAGTTCTTTTCCCTATAACGGCGTCGAAGTCTCCTTATACAATCGCGAACGTAGTCTTCTTTCAGTTCTCCGTAGAACTGCTTGATCTCTTCGCAGTCGAGCTTTTTCGGTTCGGCGATAAGCGCAGATTATTTTTACTGTTTTCCTTTGACCATCTGTAGAAGCAGAACTGCAACAGGAGATGATATAGCGTCGCAGTCCATCACAAATGGCATCATCTGCCTTCATGATCATGAGTCATACATTCAGTTCATATAACGTTCAGTCTAGCTCAGTGAATGTCGCTGGCAAATGCTCAAATCTCGACAGCCTTCCGGAGCAACACTATGTCTCCGTTATTTCACTGTGCAACAGGTTCGGTAGATGTTCAGGCTTCGCAAATTTCAGTGGCGCCCGCCTCGATCTTCACCGTTTCTCTGATGCAGATGACGATTAATGGGTCTGTATATAGCATTATTGCATCAATGTTTTCTCTATTACCCTTAATAACATTCAGGTTCCGTTTACCAATCTCACCTTGTGGTTTACCAAATCGGAGGTGTTGTTCAGGCCAAATACGCAGCCTACACCCATTATGACGGTAAACGCTTATGTTTAAACATTTTCTTGGTAACTGTTCAGCAGTTCATTCGAGGTGCCACTCTCTGTCAACTATTGTCGATTCTTCCTAACATTCATTCAGACCAACGGACTCTGAGAGGTGCAGTACTGTTAGAACTTAGTCCGAAAAGATTGCATTGCCGATTTGGGGCAGCACCACTGTCTCATCCTACCATAGCAAAGCACCTATCACTTTGACGCCTTCGCATAGCAGGAGAAAGTAAATGTTGACATGTTACAATGAAAAGCATTAATACTGACCAATAGAGATCAGTTAAACAAAACCATATATAACTCCATGAATTCCACGAACTAACCTCCACTGCATATTGTTCGTTTCGCAAAGATATACAAAAAACTGTTTAATATTTATCGTTTACTTCTATCAAAATAAAGAAACTGGCGGGGTTAAATCCATTATTATAGTGTAAATTACAGCTTAAAATGACTGAATCTGCTTGTGATTGTTCGCGATGGTTCTAATGCATTTCGCCAGAATCGCTTTAGGCTTGGGTGTGTTTACAGCGCGTAGCAGCCGTTCTAAGAAAGACACTAAAGAATTTCTTCTAAAATGTTACCGATTTTGTTACATAAGAAAATGGAATCGTAAATGCAAATCAGTGTTCAATCGTTTTGGATGGGTAGTACTGACAGTGAACAAAAACAGCATTAACTGTTTTTCTGTCGTCAAAATTTTCGGCTATGTGTAGAATGGAAAAATGGAAATGAATAATCTCTTTCTTTATTGATTTATCATCCTTGCTATATCTCAGCACTCAAAATCTCACACACTTCATAATTTGAACGAAAATTATAATCAAAATTAACGATTCAAATAGCCAATGAATATCGCACCTTTACGCCCTTTTTTGTTCTGCAATGTTTCTCGCGGTTCATAACAAATGACGTCAGCAGATCTAAAAAATCACAATTCAGAAATCAGAAATATGAGATACTAAAAAAGAGATAGGCAAGACTCCCCTGTCAGATAAATGAATTTGGTTTGCTTCGGCAACAACGCTATTGTATATATTGTTACTATAGCACAAAGTAGTAAATTTTTCGTACAAATGAATTAAATGGAAGAACTTAATAAATTAAACAGAAATGTTACGTTTTTTATCGTCTTGTAAGCTGTGATACGAGGTACTGTATAGTCATTTGCTTCTGATCTTGCAGCTGCGTGGAGGCTGGGGGGATGAAGGGTAGAGGTGATGTGCCCTGCGAGTTCTGTGCGTACGTGTATAGCTTCCAATTATTGAACTTAATACTACTAAGGCCGGTCACAAATCTCTGCTCGGTCAATTGTACTGATGCCAGTGATCAAACCGCATAGTTTTTCCTCTGGAGACGGGAAAAAACAAGAAGACTGGAACAACACGAAAAGGGCAGTGAGCAGCCGAAAACAAAGGATGAAATTAGTGTCTAAGCAATCAAGCTAGATAGTAAGAAAAATCTCGTAACTTCATCAACAATAACCGACCGTTCAAACGTGCGCGCTCGGATACTTAATAGTTTGAACACAACTCGTACGTTTATTCTCCATTGTAGTTTGCCTTTCAACT